TGTCGTGCTTCATCCATCCATTCAATGTCTAGCGGTTTCCATTTGATCATTTTGATGCGTCATTTGCGAGCTGCTGAGGTAGAAGATGATAAGAAATGGTATTTGACAGCTTTGGCAATGATTGTGGTTAATCTCATTTGGCAGTCATGGGTTTCTGATTTGGTCAGCTAACCAGCAAGCATGCATATGACTTTTATGAGGCCCAAAATGAAATTTTCGAACTAGTCCATTTGATGAACTAGTTCGTATAATATTAGTCAATAGCTTGAATTATTGACTCAAAAATTAGAAGTTCAATCAGAGAGTTATTCTGCTACTTACCAGAAAAGGAAGGAAGACTGTGATGATAAGAATGTGCAGGTCCAAATTATAATTAGTAATTTCCAAATTTATAATTGGTAATTTCTTTAGTCAAAATTAAGTCCTAATTGAATTGTATTAGAAGTTTATTGAATTGTAATCAAAGTTAAAGTACGATTCAATGAGTCCAAGTTATAGTAAATATAGTTTAGAATTGATAGAGTCTAAAAAGAAGTAAAAGAAATCCAAGTAGAAGATCAAGATTCGGATTTCAAGAAGTTGATTCAAAAAGGGATTTATATGTGTTAGGTTTTAAAGTTGTGGCAATCTTTTGACAAAACTATTGTTGTAAAAGAGTTTTTAAAAGTCAAAGTGTCAGTAGTAAGTTAGAAGTCCTAGAGTTTGAGTATGGAAAAATAGAATAAAAGTTGTTACATTTTCGTTAGTCTATCGTCCAGTTAATGCTCGAACGGTAAAAACATAAGCTGCGTCACCCGCCTGTCGCCTGGACTTTGCTCGAGCGAGACACCGTCGATCGCCTATCGTTGAGCTCTTGCTCGAGTGACAATGATCCCCAAAAAACCTAATTCACGTTTTTCAAGGTTTTTCTCCGGCCCATATCATTCCACATCATTGAGAGAAACAAGGTTTAACATTCTCCATATCATTCCACATCATTCCTAGAGTTCAACCATCATATTGATTTCATTATTTCCGTGAAAAACATCAACCTCACATAAACCAAACACCAAAACACTTACTTCTATAACATCTGTCAGAGTTCTGAAAATTAAGGAAGGTGATCGGAGTTTGGGGTTGTTGGAGAACAAGTAGTTTTCATTAATCCACAGTAGATAGATGAATTCAGAAGGTCGAGAGTTGCTGCAGGAGCACGCAATCCAGAAGAGTTTTTGGTGATTACAATCAGGGGGTCAGAAAGCACTAGAATTAGTCGAGTCTGACATACTGTAAGTTAATTCGTTTATAGTGGATTGTTACTGTTTTAGGCCCAGAGTTTTTACCTAGTTACGAGATTTCTCTGTCTTCTTATTTTGCTTATTTACTGTTTTCTATATAACTGGGGCATTCAAACCATAGAAAAATTGAATTGACTGACTAACCATCTAAAAACAATTAAAAGTGACTTGTTGGTTATTAATTGTTAATTTTAATTTTGCATAAACACATATTCACCACCTGTAGGTGTTAGTTGGGTCGATCCTCATTATTTCAATTGGTATCAGAGTCTCATTTCAATTTCTGGCCCATATTTAATCTAGACGAGTCAGTCTCTTTCCGCGCCTCTGTTTTTTTACGGAAGCAATTATGCATATTGGAAGGTTAGGATGAGAGCAATCCTTAAGTCTCTAAATGAGTGGATTTGGGTTAATGTGCAAAATGGTTGGACCTTTCCGTTCTCTACTGTTTCAGGTGTTGTTATCCCCACTGACATTTCTTTTTAGACCAAGGATGAATTAGTTGAATGCAACTGAAATAGTAAAGAGCTTCATGCATTGTTTATGGCCGTGTCTGCTGAAGAGTATGGGAGAGTGTTGATGTGTAAAACATCAAAAGAAGTTTGAGATATTTTAGATACCCACACGAGGGAACCAAAATCGTTAAGAACTCCAAGATGTAGATGTTAACCACTAGTTTGAAGAAATTAGAAAGAAGGACGATGAATCGTTCGATGAATTCTATGTGAAGTTGAATTACATAGTGAACTCTAATTTAAATCTAGTTGAAAAATCCCTGAATCTAAAATTGTTTGAAAAGTTCTTAGATCTTTACCTGAAAGGTTTAGACCTAAGATTACTGCAATTGAAGAGAGCAATGACTTAGATACAATTAAGATAGGGAACTTGTAGGATCCTTTCAAATATATAACTCACCATATCTCAACCGAAGAAGGTTAAATCTATAACCTTGAACTCCGTTAAAGAAGATGAGTGTGAGTCTACTGACACTGAGACCCTTAGGGATGATGAGATAACTTATTTTGTAAAAAGATTCCAAACAATTCTCAGGAATATGAGAAAAACTCAAAAGAGGAAGAAGGATGCCCTAAAAGTAAAATTTTGAAAGACAAGCATGATAAGGCTAATGCCAGGGGTTCTAGTAAGAAATCTCAGTTAGTTAGATGTCATGAGTGTCAAAGTTTTGGTCACTATAGGAATGAATGTTCTAGTTATAAGAAGAACTTAAATAAAGGAAAGGGTAAGGCATTGGTTGTAACTCTGACTGATGATGAATCCAATTCAAGGGTTCAAAACGATACCTCTAGCGGTGGGAATGAAAGAAAGTTTATAGCTTTTACTGCTAGGATTAAAAATGAATATGATAAGGACAGTGAGAAGGGCGAGAAAGTAGATAGTGGTGAAGCCATCTGAGGAAGATTGTGAAGATGAGGATGAGATTGGTGAGGCTTATAAAAAAATATTTGAAGAGAGTATTAAGATAAAGAATGTTAATAAAGTCATATTGAAAAAGGTTAATGAACTTGAAACAAAGAGAGAAACTCATAATCGACCTTCAGGATTCTACCAAAAATTCGAGTAAGCTGACCGTTGACAATGAGAAATTAGAAATCCAGGTTAAGAACCTTCTGAGTGAACTTGAAGATTCCAAGTCTTAATTTCGTGCTTTCCCTAGTGGATCTAAAAAACTGAACAGTCTTTTGAGGTTGAACAAACCAGCTGGGAATAGGCAAGGTCTACGATATAATCAGACCAATCATAATATAACTAGTACTTTCAAAACCATTTTTATCCCTGTCATCAACCAGTCTACATGTGTTCCTAATCCTGAACTCAAGAATAAGGGAATTGTATGACAGAAGCCTACTAGACATTGTGGGACTTACCAATCTAAGAATAGATATCACCGACCTCATAACTTTGGACCTATGTTTATTACTACTTGTTTCAACTGTGGTGAGTAAGGACATATAAGGTCTAGGTCTCATAAATTATTGAATATAAATATAAATCAAAATTTCATTAGAGTTAGAAATCAGAATTTTGATAGTCAAATTGATTTCCTCACTAATCAAGTGAGTTATTCGATCAGGTTAATGAAACAGTTGACTCGAAATAAGTCTCCCACTAGACATGTTTGGATAAAAAAGAGTGGCTTGGAACATTTTAAAATTGAATTGATTGACTAAACATTTAGAAACAATTAAAAGTGACTAATTGCTAATTATTTGTTAATTTTAATCCCGCATAAACAACTATTCACCCCCTCTAGGTGTTAGTTGGGTCGAACATCATTATTTCAATATGCACTCGCTTCCCGTGTATGTAGTGCTCGAGCGTTCAAAATGGAAGTATTGTCATTCGCTTGGCGCTAGATTGGCGCTCTATCGACGAACCAATGCTCATTTGGCATTGACCGAGCGCTCGAGCGGCGTCTCAATTTGAGAAACGGTAAAATTCGATTTTAAAGCTGATTTTCAGTTTATTTTCATCCAAAACACCTCCACTATAAATATACAGCCCAATGAATGTCCTAAAGTTGGTTGAATCATTAAATTGCCTTAGAGCTTTCATTATTGAATATTATAAACACATTCCATTGATTTTATTGATTCAACCCCCAAATTTTTGTTCATACATTTGATCCCATATATTAATCCCTTATTAGCAGAGCCTTGTTGTAAGTCGAGATTATATTTCAAAATTCCAAATACATATTCCATATATCTCTTGCTTCACCCTACTGATTAAAGCAAAAAAAAAAAATAAATAATCTTGGATTAAACACCAAACCAAAACCCTACCTTCTCCAATTTAGAGTTCTGAAGCTTGGAAAGAGGTGCTTGGAGTTCTTGCACTCCGAAACGAAAGGAGTTCGTTCTTGGTGATTCAACGAAGAGAAAAATGGCCAGAGTTCTGGGAAGTGTGGGCATGTATAACCAATGGAGTTCTTCGGCGATTTACAAGTTAGGTGACCAAGTTCAGCTAAAGTTTAGCATTGGATTAATTTTAAGTTAAATTTTCTAGTGTATCTTTTAGTGACAAGTTTGCCGGGAGGTATTTTATCTAGTTATGGATTCTCCTCCATGATCATATCTGTGTTCTTTAATCTTTATTTATTGCTTTTGGTTATAATAAATTGATTGACACTTAGGTTTAATTAAATTGGATCAATTAACTTTATTATCTAGAAACCAATTAATAAGTAACTTGTTTCTTTTAATTGTTTAATTTCACATTTGGGGTCTAAATATTCAACTAATTTAAACTTTCGAAATGAATTTCATCTTAAAAGGTGACCTTGACTAGATCTATGGTCGAGTAGCGTGCAGGGCCACATGCTTGCTTTAAAAGATTCGACAGATATATGGTTCGTTTTGTATTAGCGTGTTTCTGGAAGGGCAGCTTTGAAGCGAAAATGAAATCACTATTGCCTGTTGACTAGATATACGTATGTAATTCCAAAAACCATGAATAAAAGGAAATTGAATTGCACGAAGTTACTTAAGTAGAAGGCAGGCATTTTATGCTCTCTTTCAAACATAAATTAGGACACACTTTCAACATTATTAGAATGGGGACTGTCTGATGACAAGACAACACAAGCACACAACTTTCTTACGTGAGGCAAAATAACTTAAATAAGCTCTATTAGAGCAACTGGACAAATATATAATGGCAAAGATACCAAAATTATTCTGAAACACCACATTCTATGTAGGATTAAAGCATAAAGATGCCATTATATTTCCTTGCAGCCTCTATGCAGTTAATTGTTCCTGTGTATTCCTCCTCCCGTTTTGTCTGAGTTACTGCTTTGCCTCCATAACGCTTACGAGCCTCGCTGCTGTTAATGGTCTGTTGATGGTCCTCTTTCCTTGTCTGTGTCATGGCATGTGGACTAACTTGTCGTGGTTGTGTATATTTAGGCTTCGGATTTTCAACTGTCATACCTTTGCCACTGCCATGTTCTGTATTATTTGCCGTTTCGTAGTGTGGATCTTTAACAGGAAGTGTATGATTTTGTTTCCTACCAGCAGGAGAACCATATGAAGGGTTCCCACCGGATTTTGGGGAATCGGAAGCATAACCAGCGTCTATTTCTGGTTTGCTCCTTGGAAGACCAGGCCAAATTGGCCTATTGTTTGCTGTTTCGTAGCGCGTCTCTTTTTCCGGTGATGTGGAGACATGGGCACTATACTGTGGATGCCTTCCCGTAGTAGGCTCATACAAAGGCTTCCAACCAGCTTTTGGGGATTGAGTGTCAGTTTCTGGCTTGCTCCGAGGAGGACTATGCCTAATTGGCCTATTTCTTGCTTGGTATGTGTCTTTCTTTGGTGATGTGGATACCGGAACAGTATACTGTTGATGCCTTCCAGCCGGAGGAACAAACGAAGGCTTCCTACCAGCACTTTTTGGGGATGCCCTACCATAATCAGTGTCATGTTCGGGTTTAATACGTACAAGCTTAGGCGAGTAGGACCCTCCATATCCTCCATGCCTGTCATAATTGTCATCCTTGGTTGGGTACATATCATCATCCGAAGCGTCAGAACTACTAACATCATCCCTAGAAAAGGGGCTAGGCTTCATACGGGCTGCAGAGTTCAAGGGCGAACCCTTGCGATGCTCCTTAGGGGAAAATTCCTCAGCTTTCTTGGGCGAGCCATACGCTATGCTCCGAGGAAAATGAGAAGGGTCATCAACAACGTCACCATGGTCTTTGAACAAGTTTATTCGTGGAGGATTATATGGTCTGTGATGATCATCTATTACATGATGAACACCGAAAACTCTTTCCGTTTGGTTCATATGGCTTTGTCTGTTAACTCACCTTCTTATCAAGTACTGTCTGTGCTTCTTACCTTGAGAATCATGGCCTGTATCCCACCATTCTTCGGCAGATGGTTCTGTTCTGCCGCGGTTGGTGTTCCTTAACCAGGCCATGAATTTGAAGCACACACTCTGTAATGCACTTAAATTTCTGCACTCTTGCTTCAAAAATTTATAGGCCTCTGCTTTTATAGAGATTGATTCTGTTATCGAACATAAAAATCCAATGTAGTGGTGATGGTATAATTCTAAGATTCTTCCATTATATGAATGAAAAGAATCAAATTCTATATAAAGATTAAAATGTGGACAGAGTCATTCCGTGTTGCACTAGATAAATGTGAATCTCTCTTTCAGTTCCAACACGGCAGGAATAATCACTTTGCTCTCATTAACTTCTAAACGATCTCTTTGCTATGTGATAAGATAGAAATATTTAGCCTTTGACAACGTATATATTACTCTAAAATATGAATCCAGTTTGGTTGAGCTAGTCGAATGTGGTATGCTCACGATTCACTTAATTTAGGTGTCAAGCTTAAATTCATTTTGAGCTTACTACCCCATCAATGATTAGACCGAGGAAAGTAGATTTAATAAATTTGTTCCGTTAGAGCTAGTCTAATGTGCCATGCACAAGATTCACGTAATTTAGGTGTCGAGCTTAAATTCAATTCGAACGAACTATCCCATCAATGATTAGAATCAGCAAAGTAGATTTTTAAATAGGTTAATTATTGACATCAACTTCGAACGACCTATAGAAATCAAATGGAGTTTAGTAGGGTACAAGTTATTTAGCAAGAAGTTGAAAGCTATCTTCAAACAAACAAATAATTAAATAAACATATATCAAGTAATCGATGAATAAGTTCATAGTAGGTCCTAGAAATTAATAATTTACATTTAATTAATGTGTCATGTTATCGATACCTAGCTCATTGATACTCAAGAAAGCTTATATATATAGGCGTACCATGTCATTGGTGCTTAGAGATATTGGCCACCAATTTTGCCATTGGAATATTACTTTTTATGATTTTAAATATGGAATAAAACATCTTTAGCATATGCCCATGTCATTGGTGCTTAGAGATATTGGCCACCAATTTTGCCATTGGAATATATTACTTTTTATGATTTTAAATATGGAATAAAACATCTTTAGCATATGCCAATTTTACTCGTCATTATTTTTATGGATTTTGATTAAAAAATATTCCGTGAAACTTTTCTAGAAATTTTGAAATTGTTTTAACAAAATCTAGTGTCAAAAATTAGTGTTGTAGAAAACGAGTAATAGATTACTACTAAACCCTAATAGATGATGATAAGAAAAGTGAAATAAAATGTTCTCAAAATGGCAAAAACAAAACAAACAAACAAACAAAAAAGGATAAAAAAGAATATGAATAATGATACTTATTAATTGGGTTCCTTGTTTATGTGTCTCAACAATAACATGTAAAGCAAGAATAGGCTTTTTCAAATGAATTTGGATTTTAGACCATATATCATTCTCAGATGTACGTTAGATGATGTTTATCGCATTTGAAACAAAAGTGACATTAATTTCTCAAGGAAACCGCTATCTTTTTAGCCCATTTGGGGTGTTTTAACATTTCTCTTGCTAAATTAGCACTTATTTTTACATGGCCTTCATTTTATCCTAGACTCGTGTCATTTAAGGTGGGAAAATTCATATACCAGACATTAAGTATACTCTAATTCAATTTTAAAAGAAAAAGTTTAGAAATTCAAAACTCAGACAATAATTAATAAAATTAAATATAAAATAATTCTCAACCCACTCCAATAGCCACAATCACCGGCATCCACCTACTGACATGCCCTCTCACAATCACCAATATTCACCCGTCATCGGTATCCACCCGTCGCCATCCCCTCTCACAGTCACCCACATTCACCAGCCACGGCCGTTCCCTCTCACAGTCACTGGCATCTACTCGACATCAACATCCACTAGTCGTCCTCCCTTCTTAGAGTCATCGACATCCACACAGCTTGTTTGGATAAAAGCGTTGATTCGAGATCTATGAGTACAACATCTAAAAGGGTAAAGACTTGTTTGGATTTTTAATTTAGTAAAACATCGACGAGAATTGATGATTATCTAATTAAACTTCAATTGACGGATTTTTTGCTTTGTGATTTAAACTACGTGTAAATTGTTATCTGTGAGGTTGATTCAATGGCTTATGACCAGTTCTCTTGGATATGTGACATTTGGATATTGATTTGTTACTTGTAATATTGGTCCAGTGGCCTATGACTAATTCACTTGGATATGTGACATGAATATATTGATATATTACTAATGCAAAATGACCTGTGACATGTGAACTATTGCTCATGACCTGTAACATATAAACTGCGTGACATATAAATTTGAATCCGTGACTTATTATTAGTGCACAAAAATGTATATCATATGATCTGTGACCAGTTAATATTGATATGTGACCTATACCACATGACTTGTGATCTATGAAGTGTGACATATGACCTTAAATTAATGATATGTGACTTATGGACATTAATTTGTGACTTGTGAAAATTGATATGTGATCAATTTTAATTAATCTATGACTTACGCCCAATGACACCTACGAACAAATTGTGTCACCACAACATCAAAACTTTACTAGCACCGACCACAATTTCCAAACCACCAACCACCACCACTATAACACTCAACCAATACTAAAAGCCCCAACAACCAAAATAACCAAGCAATTCACTAACAACCAAAACAATTGAAAAAACCAACCAAATCACCAATATACTGCTGCACATGGCTCTGTGCGTAGCGGATGAGGCTGTCTCACAATGGCGCTCTTCACTAAGAGCGTCGCTGACGCTCATCACTGTGAGCTAATGGTGTCTTCTACAGTGACAGAGAGTGAAAAGAGAGAGTTGGTGCAACAATGACAATGGTCTCAGGCAGTATGTGTGGTAGTGGTGTCCAATTAGGTGAGGTGTGTTTAGGTGGAGAGAGTGAGATTTCCTGAAGTTGGAGATAGAGAAGAGAGGAAAAATGATTTTTAGGTTTGAGATGAAATTGGGTTGTATCGAATGGGTTGGGTTGGGGTAGATTTTATAATATCATTATTAATATTAATAGTTTAGCATATGAAGGTATATATTTTGTGGCATTCAGTCAATAAAATCACAGCCTCACCACATTCTGTTGCATATGAAGGTTTGCTATTCTGTAGCATTCATGTACGCGTGTGTGTGTTCAAAATCACAGCATAAATTTTTTTCCCATCTGTTCAAGAATAAACATTCTGTGGTGTGCATGTGTGTGTTCAAAATCACAGCATGAAGATAAATAGAGATTGCATTTGGGCAATTACCGTATGTGGGTAAGAAAATCTCGAGTGGACTGGAGAAGAGAATGAAGTTGCTCGAACGAGAAAGGGAATCAGCTGCTCCGGGAGAGTGGTTGGAGAAGAGAATGACAGTCGCTTGAACGGGAAATGCTCAGCTCCGGTGCTCTCGAGGTCGGAGAAGAAGTGGAGCAGCTAATTTCTCTACTTCAGTTTTAGGGCTTCCAGTTTGGGGGATAAAACGAGTCTTTGGCGGGTTATGAGGTAAGAACCATGGTTTTCCCTCCCATTCTCCTGCCATGTCACAATTTTTTTAAAATTCTGTAGACATTCTGTGAAACACCTTCTGTACGCCCAGCATTATTCTTCTTTGATTGTTGAACTTCACTTTTTATGTCTGAAAAAAGCTTTTACTTCTGTTTGATTGTGTATTCTAAAGAATACCTGGCTCCAAGTGGATATGCTTGAATTCTTAAATGCTCCGAACGGATCATCTAAGCAATCTCATCTTGCCAATAAGAGGCCAGATGCAGATCCTTCCCAGTCCCAGTTAGGCGGAAGGACGGTATGGAAGAATATTGGAAAACGATACGTGATAAGTGCAATTTGTGCACTTATTTGTGGTCCTAAATTGTGATATTTTATTGTCTTTTGGATTAAATTCTACCTAATTTATGTTAAATTCTGTTTTGCAGGTAAAACTTATGTTTAATGAAGGATTGGAAAAAATGATGCAAAATAGGCGAAAAATGGCAAAATTCAAAGTACGAGAGCTAAATGGGTTGGAGTTAAAGAGAGGCAGATTATTATAGAGGATTAAGCCCACTCGAATTGGAGGAAAATTGGAGGCCTAGTGTATATATTGTACACGCTGAAGGAAATATTGTTGGGCCAAAATTCAAAGCCTATAGATTATGAACTTGTTTGGGAGGAATTTTTGGGGGAAGAATCGATTTTGAATAGTGATATGATGGAAAATGTGTGGTTGATAAAGAAGAAAAAATTACTGATGTGATGGAAAAGATTATTTTATTGAATAATGTGTGGTTAAAAATGAGAATTCATTTACTGTAGAAAAATCTAAATCCCTCCCAAACGGGGCCTATATTATATATACATACACATGGGAGATTACCGAAGGAGGATATAAAAGGGGAGACAGACGGCGGCTAGTGGGGGATTACCTAATTAGAGAGAAGAATTTGTGGTGGTGGCTGATGAATTAATATAGATTTATACATACAGATTTCGGAAGGGGGGGGAGAGATAGTGGGCTGTTGGAGAATTGTGTTGGAGGATTACATACACACATATACAAAGGCTGAAATCAATATATCGGCAGCATTGTTCGGCTGAAATTGGAGAGAGGTTGGTGGCTGGAATATATTTTATTTACACACAGGCAGACGGAAAAAGGGGATTCCTTTTTAAGCAGAATTTGTGGCAGTGGCTTTGGAATTGGCCGGCTAAAAAGCAAAAAGGAAAAGACAAGATCACGGCAGTTTCACGTTCATTCAAATTTTGGTGATGTCGATCCTCTTTAGCATATATTATTTTTACATTAAGTGTAGCTAAATTATTTTTAGGGCGAATAATGAAACCTAATTGAGATCCTTTATTTCGTTAATTAGAGATTCTAGTTTTTATATTTTTATGTGTTGATTTT